ATCTATTGTCTACTCGCTGTACAAGCTTAATATTTGTGCAAATATAACATAACCTGTACTGTATGTTTTATTAGTAAAATGCATTTTTGGTTAACATTTAAGCAAAGCAAGGCAAGTTTATTTATATAGCACATTTCATACACAATGGTAATTAAAAGTGCTTTACATAAACAGGAATAAAGAGTCAAAAATGAAAATTATTATTCATTCATTCATTCATTTTCTTTTCGTCTTAGTCCCTTTATTAATCTGGGGTCACCACAGCAGAATGGACCACCAACTTATCCAGCATATGTGGATAGCTGAAGGCGTAGTAGTAGCTGAAGGCGTTTCACCCTGCTTTGACTAATCCATTGGAATTCCAAATTTATTTCATCCTAATGATAAGAGTGATCTGTTAGGTTTGTATTTAGTGTGCATATCTGTAATGTATTGAGGTCCTAGGTCATTTAGTGATTTAAAGACAAGTAGTTTTACTTGAAATTTACTTAAAATCTTACCATTTACATTCACACTTGTTATGTTTGGTTTACTTAAGGTGTGATTGTTCTGTTAGTGCAGTTAATTTAAGCAAATATGACTGTTAGAGTCAGAACCTTGGTTCACTTCTCCCCAATTAAAAATTCACTTAACCGAACATAACCTTTCCAACAGCAAGACAGTTTGACTTGTATATGAAATCAAAACAGACCAAAATCCAAATGATGTCATGCCACAATATTTGATTCTAAAAAAGTTCAAGTTTACCTGAACTGGTTATTCTTATTCCTTATTATACATATTCAAAAGTTCAATGCATACCTTAGGCATTATTCTTGCTCATCATCTGCATTTGTGTGCGACTGTAAAATCATTCAAAACATTCTTCATAAATTGTTCTCTTTTAAAAACTACACTGTACATGATAAATGTAAAAAATGTTTTTTTTTTGGTAGAAGCAAACAAACCAAACAACAAGTGTGTCAACATTTATAAATAATAATGTTTTCTTAATCACCTGATTTGCACACCTACGTGCTTACCGTTTATATGTATTAAGTGTTTCAGTTTTGAATCATGTGCACATTTTGACATGCCGTCCAAAAAATAATAATATAAAACTCAGGATTACTAAATCATGTAAACACTTTTCCTGCAGCGAGACTTTTATGTAAGCTGATTTGATAATCAGGATTGTAAGCAAACATAATTATAAAACCATCTTACGGAACTGGCTCGTGCTGACATGAACCTTTGCATTCTTTCACTCCTTGCTTGCAGCTATGTGCCGTAATTGATTTAGAGATGGACTTTCCCCCTTCTGAAACGGCAGGCCTTTGTGTAACACATCACAACGCTGCGAATGCAGAGACCGAATCGACTGCGGAGCTGAACTCAGGAGACTTACACTTGTTCCTGTAATGTCACAAACAGACACGTTTAGCCTGTGACAGTCAAGATAAGCTGCTGGCATTTGAAAAATGGCCCTCTAACCTGAGGAACCGATCTCACAGGGGCCTACACTCACTTTTCCTCCCTGAGATTTTTCACACTATCTTCAGACACATACTGGAGAAAATAGCCCAGATGTGCCAGAACCGCCACCACATTAACAGTGCAACACCGTGAGTCACAGCCTCTCATACACACACACACGCACACATATCTAAAAGCAGTGTGTCAATAGCAGTAACTGCCATCCGACTTCCCATTTTATGGGTCAGCGTTGTTGTTGTCGTCCTCCCAATGTCAATGAAGACAAAGAGGCTAAACCGACGCCAGCTGTTCCTAATACCACTGTGCACATTCTCTCTCTCTCTCACACACACACACACACATACACACTCCTCTACATGTGTTACACCTGGATTAGCTCTCTGTTCCCCAGGATCAAATGCACACCATCTATCCCTTTACGTGATTATTTTCTCTTTCTTTTCCACGCTCGCTCTCTTTCATTATCTAATATGGAGCGTAATCCTCTTGTGGAATTAATCTGCTTTAACGAGTGTTTGTTACCATGCTGAGATGGAATTAAAATGAGTCTTGGGGAGAGGAGGGGTCGGTGGGATTCAGCACCGCTGAAATGTTTGTTCTTGTCCAACCTGCCTTATTCTCCAGTGGTAAACATGAGAGACACCTGCGCACGGCCTAGATCTATGTTCAACTCTGAGGAGTGTGTGACCTAGTGGTTTATGTGATTGAAAGCATACGGTGGTTCAGTGTGTAGCACTGTCCATACACAGTAGAGGTCGCGGGTTTGAGTCTCGGGTGGGCCAGGTGGCATTTCTGTGTGGAATTTGCATGTTCTCCTCGTGTTCCTCCATTTGTTCCTCCAATATAAGTGTGAATTGGATAAAATAACTAAATTGGCCATAGTGTGTGTGAATGGGAGCAGAGGTTCACGCGTTAGTGTATTGTCAAATCCACGTTGTGGCTGTAAAGACATTCGCAGAGTAAAAACCAGAGTAATTGGTGGTTCATTCCACTGTTGCGATCCCTGATAAATCAGGGACTGAGCCGAAGATAATTGAGTGAGTGAGAGTTTTTGCAGGTTTGGGGCCTGTGTCATACATAAGCTGTACCTGTGTTTATATACTTAATCTAAATGGTAATAGCTTGTTTACACCTAAAATGATTACTGCTGTGTTAGAGTAAACAATATTGTTGCTTATTCTAAGCAAGCATTGCATTTATGTCTTAAATGTTTCTTAATTGGTCTCATTCGTTAAGCATGCATAGTGAGAAATGTGGTAAATCACTTAATAAATTATGATAGACCAGAGGTGTCCAAACTCGGTCCTGAGAGCTGGGGCCTCATGTATCAACGCTACGTGCGTACAAAAACTTTGCATACGGCAGATTTCACACTCACGTTTGGATTTACTAACGATGAAATGAACATGAGAATGTGCGTTGGTCCACGCCAACTTCATGCCTGGCGTACTTGCATCTCTTGTGTGTGTTTGTTTTATTTTCATTGGCGACTCCTAGAGGCAGTTGTGTTAAATTGCACACCATAAAGTATCTTTGAGCCGTGCAATGGCAGCTGTATGCGACGGGATCATCCGCATGTCTAGCAGGTATATAAGGTTTCCATACCATGCAATTGACAAGCCACACATGAAAGCAATCGATGATTTTCCCAATGTAACCAGAGCGATCGACTGCACGCACATTGCTTTAAAGGGGCCATCTGAAGATGAATTTGCATAAGTCAATCGGAAACATTTCCATTCAATAAATGTACAAATAATATGTGATGCTCAAATGCGCTTAACAGAATACACACTTATCAATTATTCCTTCTTGTCTTGCTCGTGATGAAGTATAGGCAAATTCTGATATGTAGTGGGGGAAAGAAGAATAAGTTCATCATACGCTGAATTCGAACCGAGCTCATAATCGAACATGTCAAAACATGTTGCCATACACTTTACCAGCTATGCCACTCATGCTGCTGTTTGCCGCTCTCTTTAGTTATGTTGTCCCTGTCAATCAAATGGTGATGGGTGGGAATCACTCAACCATCTCATTCCAACGAGGTGTACTATTTACACTCAGCCTAAATAGACACTACAACGTTTTACACCTTTACATTTCTTTTTTAATTCACTCACAGTGTGATGTTCAGACCCAACTGCGTTAACAGCGTCAGCTAAACTCTCCCACTCAAATTTTTTCTTTTGTTATTAATTCTGGAGGACAAATTTGCAAATAATACAGTTGTTCTCTGGTCTACCTCTGATAGGAGCACCTCCAATTCACATTCTGTTCAAAGTTTCTCTTTTTGCTTGCTTTTGCCATTACTTTTTCGTTTGGTTTTGCCAAAGTAGAGTCATTACCATATTTATAAGGGGGAGGAGGCAGTGAGGGGTTTTGCACTCGTGCATGTGCGCTCAGTTTCCATTAATTTGGAAGTACAAAGAGAATATGCGTGGGATTCTGCGTACGTAGTGTTTTATACATCTGAATTTTTTTACTGCGTACACACATTTACAGCTTTATGTGTACGCAATGTTTTAGAATGAATTCAACGCAAGTCTTCGTACATAAGGCCCCTGGTGTCCTGCATATCTTAGTTATACCCCAATTAAACACAGCTGTTAATCAAACTCTTTCTAGGAATACTAGAAACTTCCCGGCAGATGTTCCAGGCAGGCTATTGGACATTGGCCCTCCAGGACCTAGTTTGGATACTCCTGTGATAGACAAACATTTGTACAAAAATGTATCAAGAAGTTAGGTTGCCTAATATCTATATTTTATGCATCATTTATGTATAGTTATGATGTGGTGTGGATTATATAAGACAAAATGGATGGCATATATTGTGTAAATGGCTTAAAAAAGATGTGGAGATCGTTTTTTTTTTTTTTTTTACATGTAGTTGCTTATTTAGAATATTTCACAAACTTTAAAACAAGCTTAAGAACAAAATTGTGTGCAAATCTACATTCTGAAATGGGTGGAATATTTTCATAAGTATTTAATTGTTTATGTAAATATGAATAATCTATTATTAGTTAATGAGACAATTTTTTCATCATTCATCATCTATAAAAATATCATACTAAGGGTAAATGCTTGTCTACATCCAACCATGATTTGAAAAATCTGCAATAATATCTATGCAGAAATAACAAATTAAAGGGGAAAAAAGATCACTGGCCTACTGCTCATGTACAGTAGCTATGAAGTGATCATTCCTCATATTCGGTCAGCTGTGTTGTGATTAGAAATGAATTGGCCTAAGTAGCATTTTGGAGTCTTTAAGGGTTTGGGCGCAGCTAAAAGAAAAAAAATCCATAATCCAGACCAAAGAATTGCACGAAAACCTCTCTCGCTTTCATTCTTTTAAGCCTTCTCCTCCACATCGCGAGTCAGTTACCTGAATCTATTGACGTCACCGCGTCTTTCAAAAAGAGAAATATTCACCTCAAAAGGTTTTGATTTCAGCCACAAAGAGGAGGCGCTGGTATTGATCAGAGTCGCTGTCTGTCTGTTCTTTTCTCTACCAGGGACCGAAGAGCTCCAGCCTCTATAGAGGGACTCAGACAGGGTGGGAGGAGATCCCAGCAGGTAAAAAGACCCACCGCAGGTCACGACCACAAACAGCATATCAGCTGGCTATTTCTGAAGGGGCCATTGTGCTTGATTTCGGCCCAGACGCTACAGCAAAACCCTTACATACACATACACACACACGTCCCTCACACCTGGGTGTAGGTCAAACTGTTTAAGGGCAATGGCTTGTAAATGTTACTTTCACTTGTATGGGAGGCGGTGTATATATATATATATACAGTACACGTGCACACACACATATTTAGACACTTTTTTGACCTTACCCAGGGCCGTATTGGGAATAAGCCTTAGCAATACAATGTTTACTTGTTCAAACATTTATGGTTTAATATTTATAGATAATTCGAAAGGTTTTCCATTGTTCCGACCTGCAAAAACAGCAAAGAAACCTGAACAGATATAAATCTAGCAGTTAAACTTTTAGTTTGCAGCTTTTATCAGATCTTTAAATGTTTTAATTGTGGCTTTGCGCTTTCTGTCTGGGCATGAGCGCTAGAGAAAGAAAACACTCTCTCTGCCAAGTTACACAAGAAAGCCACACTTTTAATGCATATTGGTATAATCTGTTGAGGGATTAATTACATCATAAAATATTATTATTAACACACACATAAATTATTCATGTGTGAATGTGGCTTGCCTTTCAGCATTTAGAATATAGCCTGTAAGCCATATTACAACATTTATGCAAATATGAAACAAGACAAAACAAAACCCATAGCTGCACACTGCACATAGATTAAGGTAACTCAAAAAATTTAAGGAAACCGATTGCAACAAACCATTTAAGTTCAAAAACTAATCCTAACGAGTACTGTGAACTTAATCCATTTTAGTAAACGAAGTAATTTGTGCACCGTAAAACCCAATAAATTAAGAAAACTTAAATTATTTGAGTTAAAAAACTAATCTACAGTATATGAGTACTGTGAACTTACTCCATTTAAGTTGAAGTAATGGGGTATTTAATGAATTCATTACCTTCAACACTAAGTTCAGATGTTTTTTTCAAATGAGTAGAATTAACTTTCAGTCAATTTTGAGTTAACTGCTTTGATTTAATTTAATAAAGTTGGGTAACAACATGTTTGTGACTAGTGGGTGGCACACAGGTTTCTCTCATTGACTCTCACCCCCTTGTCATAATGTTAATTATATTCTAATTGAAATATCGAATAAACTAATCTGTGTAATTTGTTTGAGTAAATGTCACATAAACTTGTTCATGTGTTCAGATAGCTATCAAAGAGACACACTTGTACATACTTGCATGATTATGGTTAAAGATTGTTTAGCTCATTCTTTAAAATATATAAGGAAATTAAGAATAACACTTAATTTCAACACTTATTGTAATATAGTATAACTTTGAGTACAATGCACTGTTTAAATTTTTAAATCAAATGATCATATTTCTTTTAATTTATTTCACTCTTGTGGTTTTAGTGCAAGGTAAAGGTCACTTCAGTTCATAGACCTCATATTCCCTGTGTGCGTGTTAGATATGGGGCAGAGATGTGCTCTCACTCTCTGGTTTTGTAAGGTCAGGAATGTCTTAATTTTTTATGTCGATTCCAATTATATTTGGCTTTTTTTATTCCTGCGAGAGAGAGTCATTTGGAAGCTTTTATCTCGTTATGACATCAATAACAACATCTGCTACTTAAATTCAGCACAATAAGCAGCATTGTAAAGCTTCCTGAACAACTCTGAACAGCACATTCCAGCCATGTTTGTGTTTGCCATCGTTGTTTTCACGAGTTTCTGATCTTCTCATTCCCTTTGCAGACTTTTGTTTGACTCTGCATGTGTCTCTTAGCTTTTGCTGTCAACATAAAATTGATCTCAGAAATGAGCTAAATGTGACAAAACCTTTTTCAAAGGTAAAATGATTTATATTTGAATATAACCAATTTTAAGATGCAAAACAATTTAATTTTACACTACTTTGCCTGATTATAGAATGAAATAACCAAACGGGATTTAATAAAGAAAGTATTTCTTCCATGTAGTTTCTTAATCACGGTTTCGGCAGGTTTCACAAAGTCAAATTTAATACTTTTTAAGACCTTTTAAAGAACATTATTAATAAAATTTTAGACTTATACAGCACTAAAGACTAAGGATTTTTTTTTAATTGACCAGTTGGTCCTGCGGAAATTTACTTGTCTATCCAAAAAAGAATTAATTGGTTATTTCTTTGCCAGATGTTTTAAAAAATCTGTTAAAACTAGCAAACCCTAGTTGTATACATACACATTGTTTTCAACATAACATTTCTTCAATTAAAAACAACAACATATTGGTAAATAGAGTTATATTTACAACAAAATAGAGTTTTGTTGAAAGGTTTTTTTTTTTTAGATTGTTGGTATTTTTGATTGGATTGGATTGGATTGGATTGGATTGGATTGGATTGGATTGGGTAGAGAGGAAGGACAGAGGAAGAGTAAGACTTGTTCAAAATGATTTAAGACCTAAAAGACAATAATTCTGTGAATTTAATTTTTTTAATTTATGACAATTTAAGACTTTTTTAAGATCCCCCTGTAAATACAAAATGGGCTCTATTTTAATGATCTAGACACAAGGTCTAAAGTGCATGGCACATAAGCAAGGACAAAAAAATACAGTTTGCGCTGGTGCATGGTCTAACAGAATTGTGTTTAATGAGTTATGGGTGTGTTTTGAGCAAAACCTGCATTAAACCAATCAGAGTTTCATCTCTCATTCCCCTTAAGAGTCAGTTGCGTCACGCCGTGGCGCAGTTGCTACTTACATGGCGGACTTTGTAAGTGGAAAAACTGAATGGTCAAACTGAACGCTCTAGTGAGAAAACAGTTTAACAGACCATCTGAAGTGTGAAGATAAAAAATGAGCCTTATCCATTTGGCCTCTTTACTTTCTCTTTACTTTTACTCTTTACTCCTTTACGTTTGTGGATAAGGAATTGGTGTTGTACGCACTCCACTGAAGACATCCATAAGCCTATGTATTTAATTTATAAAAAACTAGTTCTAAATTCAGTTTTAATTTCTAGCAAATAAATAAATAAAATGAATAAAGTCCTATTCTTATGCCCCATATGGTGATGCATACTCTCCAAAATTCGACAAGTGGACAAATCTAAATTTGTTTTAATTAAAACAAATATAAATATGCAAATAATAAATAATACTGCTAAGAATATAACATTATTATAAAAATGCTAATTGTAATGAATAAAATGAAAAAAGCCCTGCAAGATGAAGAAGCATGGAGATAATGTTTTTTTATATCTATGTAATTAATTTTTGTAACATTTATTCCTTTATTCTTTTCATATGTAAAGATATTTGTGTATTGCAGTACATCCTGTGTGTATTAAGCAATGTGTAAGCATTTGGACCTGCATATAATTAATGTGCTCTTCGCTGGACTTTAGATAAGCTTTTTTTACTTGCACCATCCAAAAAATATATATATATTTTAAATAATCTGTCAAAACAAGCAAACCCTAGTTTTATACATACACATTTTTTTCAACATAACGTTTCTTCTTCTTCTTTTTCTTTTTACAAAAAAAAAAAAAAACATATAGGTAAAATTAGAGTTTTGTTGAAAGTTTTTTGAGATTGTTGGTATTTTTGGTGAGTGCATTGGATAGCTTTACATGGACAGAGAAAGAGGAAAACTTGTTTAAAATAATTTAAGATGTAAAAGACAATAATTAAGTGAATTTAAAAATTTTTAACATTAAGTTTTTAAAATGGTAGACATTTTAAGACTTTTTAACATTCCACTGAAACCCTGTTAATGCAAAATGACTGTAATGAGCAAAAGGACAATTTGTGTTTTACGTGTTGTGTATTTTGAAAAAAAAATTATATAATAATGTTTTATTTTTTTATTTTGGTGCTATGCATGCATTGCATTGATGACAATTAAGTGAAGTTTATTCATAAACTAATTTCGAGAGGATCACGTGCTTATGATTTATCACGTCCAGTCTCGCATTTGCTAATCACTAATCTTCCAATCATATGAGCCCTAAGGCACCATAAATAGTCTAAGTTTCCAGTTCACTTTATCTTCGTTTGGAAGAAACCCCCCTCCTCCCCTATTCTCCTCCTTTACCTGTAATTGGGCGGCACGGCGGTCCAGTGGTTAGCACTGTGAACCACACAGCAAGAATACTGCCGGTCCTAGTTCGATAGGACCGGTGAGTGTTTCTGTGGGGAGTTTGTATGTCCTTCCCGTGTCCGCGTGGGTTTTCCCCGGGCTCTCCGGTTTCCTCCCACCATCCAAAGACATTCAACATACTTAACAATCAAGCTGGTCTAATTCCTTACGTTCCCTTAGCTACAGCGGCAGGGGAGTTCTGAGATCCACCGAGCTCAGGCTCCCTTCTTGCTCTGCCAACGGGAGGAAGCCCCGGGCTCGAGGAGCCCTTGAGCTCGGGGCTCTCTCCCGGGACAGCATGCCAAATAAGCTTTGTAAATCATCAGCTAAGTGTGAACTCTTGAACTGTAAATATGTCAAAAATCCAGAGAAACACAATGATTAGAAAAAAAAAATATTATAAATATTATAATATTATTATAATATCAGAATTGTTTTAATAACTTTTTAGTTTCAATTTTGTATATTTATTTATTTAGAAATGCCAGTCCATAGAGTTTAAAAACATAAAAAAGTCTCCTAAATTTTCAGTGGTATTGTATATCATGTCTATCGATATGTATGCACCGATTTTAATAGCTTAGTACATTTGTGTTTGATTTTATGTTTACCTTAACAAATAAAGAGAGAGGGAGATAGAGGAAAGATATAATTTTATGTTTCAGCATCCTACCACAATTCACAGTGTTAAACAGCTGTCAATTTATGGAAAGTCCTAAACATAAATGCTCTTGTATACACAATCACAGAGGCAAGAGAGGGAAGAAAGTAAAGGAGCGAATGGGAAGATTTTTGAAGTTACTGAATTAAGAGTTGAAGAAGAATGAAGGTGT